AAAAAATGTCACCAGATTTGTGCTCTGTGGATCTTTTTAACCAAATCAAAAAAAAAAAATGAATCACAGCAATGTGTCTCTCTTTTGGAGAAAAAAAATGCTCTTAATGTTACAGAAACATGCAGTTCCATTGTCCTCCAATCAATGAGACACATGGAGAAAAACAGCATTCTGGTGAGATTGGTTTAACCTTTCTATTTCACAAACAAGTTTATTATTATTTTAACAAAAAGAAAAGAGTTTTTTTTAGACCACCAGGAACTTTTAAAAAGAGCCTTTTCAATTTAACTGTTTCATTTCAAGGTGCAAGCTGTTCAGATAAAACATCCAAGGGAGTGCTCTTTTTTATTTGAAGAAAGTTAAAAGGAAGGTTGTGAAAAGCGGTAGATAAGCTATGGGTTTAGCGCAGGGGTCAGCAACCCGAGGTTCTGGAGCAACATGTGCTCCTTGATCCCTCTGCTGTGGCTCCCTGTCACTGGTCAGCTCCACAATTGATAGGGCTTTCGGTTAGGACAGGTAGAGGAAAAAGTATGCCGCGCTAGGAGGAGACTCTATGATGGGGCAACCGGACTTCCGGTTGGTTCCAGAATTCAATGGGGGGCTTCCGGTTAGAACCTTTGTGGCTCTTTGAGTGTTGAAGGTTGCCGACCCCTAGTTTAGCAATTGTTTAAAGCATTGTATTTAGTGGTGTGTTTCTCTTCGCTGACCTGATTTCTTCTCCTTCTAGCAGCGTCCTGTAGGTGGCAATCTCGATGTCGAGGGCCAGTTTGACATTCATGAGCTCCTGATATTCCTTGAGTTGCCGGGCAAGTTCTTGTTTGGCTCTTTGTAAAGCTTCCTCCAATTCATTCAGCTTTTGCTTAGCATCCTTGAGGGCAAGTTCACCACGATCTTCAGCCTCAGCAATGGCTGCCTGAAGTTTGGCACACTGGGAATGGGCATAACAATTATTATTGTTATTATTGGAGGCCATTCATGTCAAAACTGTTACAACAGATTTTCTTTGGATAATTCAGGAAGAATATCTCGTCTAGCCTGTAAGCACAGAAAACTTGAAAATCTCTTCTTAAAGACTTCTATGCAACAAAACAATTGTATACTACCAATAAAGGTAAAGATAAAGGTTCCCCTCACACATATATGCTAGTCGTTCCCGACTAGGGGCGGTGCTCATCTCCGTTTCAAAGCCAAATGACTAAACGTCGAAGGCACACGGCGCGCTATTACCTTCCCACCAAAAATGGTTCCTATTTTTCTACTTGCATTTTTACGTGCTTTTGAACTGCTAGGTTGGCAGAAGCTGGGACAAGTAACGGGACCTCACTCCATTATGCGATGCTAGGAATTTGAACCACCAAACTGCTGACCTTTCTGATCGACAAGCTCAGCATCTTAGCCACTGAGCCACCGCGTCCTTGATACTACCAATATTGGTATATAAAACACATCGGTGCTGAGTACACAGCTGCATCTAAAGCAAATGCTTGTGTTTTAATGCACAAAAATCGTAATAATATTTCCATAAATGGGACTGTGTCTCCATTAGCTCAGATTTCCTCCAACACTGGAAACAAGCTATATATAGGGTTATTGTTCATTTTTGACTCAATGTGTTGTGTAACCTGAACCACTTTATGCCTTAGCATAATGTGGAAATTCAGCCAATTATGGCTTAAAACCATAGCTAAACAATGATAGCAAAGAAGAATATGCAAACCCAGCTATTGTGAGAGCAGATTTATCTTATGCAATACCGTAGAACTGGGCAGAATTCTATAAAACTTCACTTGCAACTTGTTCTCAACAACTGCATGATAATTTATATATTTATATGCAAAGCTTCTGTTATTTATCATGCTCTGAGCAAATAATGCCTCTGGATAGACATAAATGGAATAATTCCAAAAGAAGCTGTTGAAACTGCTGATCTATCATTGATTATCTTTAGACGGATGATAAAAGAACGAAAATATTTTAATAATATGGAAAAACTGGCTCACTCTAGTTGCCTGGCTACCTTCCTTTAGAACACATTAGGGTGCGGAACAATTTATATAATAACCTGCCTGTCTGCCTACTTGTCTATGCTGTAGTAAGATGAAGGAGGGGATCCCTGGTTTAATTTGCAATGCCTAAGAGCTATTGCAAAGCAACTAACTTGCAACTTGTTCAACTTGATTGTGTAGATACCTTGCAACATGTGTACAATGAGAGACGTACTATCTGTGGATTTATTAGCAAAATCCCACAGAGTAGAAGAAACACTAAAATGTCATTATGATTAGAATAATGTAATATTTAAAAAGAAGACCTTTTGAGTGTGCTAGTCTTTGGTGCCCCAAAAGTGCTTTTTCAAAAGGCAATCGGACTTGTTTTATCCTTAAAAACGTTTTTCTTCTCATCCAAGAAGCTTCTTCAGTTCATGAGAAGTGAAATGTTTTCAAAGAAAAAACAAGTCTGATTGCATTTTGAAAAAGCACCTTTGGGACAACTATGGCCTGGATGACTGGGAATCTCCATAAACATAGTCTTTGGTGTATATAACACCATCTCACATATTTCCTACTTATTTCTTGTAATGCATGGTGTTTAATCACAGTCCATATTTTTTCTTTATTTATCTCATTTGAATGCTGAATGGCCATCATTTCTGGTTAGCAGTAACAGGCATTCAAATCAATTAAGTCTAGTTAATGCTAACCAGAAATGACAACTGCTTGAATTTCAGATAACACATTTAACTGTTGCTAGTCTCCTTCCTTCCTTCCTTCCTTCCTTCCTTCCTTCCTTCCTTCCTTCCT